AGTGGCTGGAATTGCTTCACACAGTTCACCAACACAACACAAATCAAAAAAGCTCAAATCAAATCAAATCAAAAAAGCTGAAAAATTAAATTCTTCAGCATTTATATGTTTCACCAGAAAATAGTTTGAATTTTTCTGAGAATTATTCTCAAAAATTTTCAATGCTTCCAAAGCAGGTATTCTTTGTCCATGAACATTATTAAAAAATAATTCCTGCTTTGGAACCATCAATTTAGTCCACACATACCCCTTCCACCACCTGGTCACTGGAGAATGTGCCATATATGGAAACACCCATATTTCAGAGGTCATTTCTCATTTCACTCAGCACTCCCACTCCCCCAAAATGAATATCAAAGCTTTTGAAAAAAATCAATCTTATTTTTTATTTTTCACAAATTTTGAAACTTAATTTTTTGCTTTTATTATTTCATATTCATTTTTTGAGACCTATTAAGCACCACCTGACCAAGTCTCATGATTTCAAATTTGTGTTTTGGAGCTCTGGAATCCAAATTAAGCAGCCACTTTTCACTGTCTAGGCACTGTACTACCACATACTCCAATGACCAATTCTCATTTCACCATTACTTAAAAATGTTTTTTTGATTCCAAAGAATGGATTCTTTGTTCATGTTCATCATGGAAAAATAATACCTGCTTTGGAACCATCCATCTAGCCCACACATATCCCTTCCCCATGTGTGGGTTGGATGGATGGTTACAAAGCAAGGATTGTTTGCTCATGATCTTCAAGGAAAAAAGTAATACCTTTTTTGGAAGCTTTTAAAAAGTTTAAGTAATGCAGAAAGAAAGATTGGGAAATGAAAAGAATGATTATAAATGAAAATTTTGGAAAAACTGGTTTTCATATGGCTTCAAACAGCTGTTGAGTGGGGCATTCACCAGCCCACATTGCAGCAAAGCACTAGTATTTACTGTTTTGGCTCCAATCTGGACCACCAACCTGACTAAACCTTTTTTGGTTCCAATTTTTTCATTTATAATCATTCTTCCCATGTTCCATTCTTTCTTTCTCTCAGCACTCTCACTCCCCCAAAATGAATATCAAAGCTTTTGAAAAAAATCAAGTTTATTTTTTATTTTTCACAAATTTTCAAACTTTATTTTTTGCTTTTATTATTTTTGGGATCTATTATGCACCACCTGACCCAGTCTCATGACTTCAAGTTTGTGTTTCAGAGCTCTGGAATCCAAAATAAGCAGCCAATTTTCACTGTCTACCCAGAAACACATACATTTCAGTGGTCATCTCTCATTTTGCCATTACTCAAAAATTTTCAATGCTTCCAAAGCGGGTATTCTCTGTCCTTGAAAATTATTAAAAAATAATTCCTGCTTTGGAACTGTCAATCTAGTCCACACATAATACCCCTTCCACCACCTGGTCACTGGAGAATGTGCCATACTGGAAACACCCATATTTCAGTGGTCATTTCTCATTTCACCATTACTTAACCTTTTTTATTGATTCCAAAGCATGGATCCCTTCTTCCATGAACATCATGAACAAATAATCCCTGATTTGGAACCATCCATCCAGCCCACACATACCCCTTTCACCATCATTGGATAACATAAACTTTACTTAGTTATCAATTTTGTGTGTTTTTGTAATATATATTTGACTTTAATTTAACATGACATTTTTTTCTGTATTATTCTTTGAGTAACTTAAAATGATGTTTTTTTGCGTGAGGTGGCATGTGAAATTGTGATGGTGGTGTCACTACAAGCAATACCCATTTTGCCCCAAAAATAAATGGCAATTTGGGTGGGGGAAAATGGATCAATTTTCTGGCACTTTTTTCCACAATGCCTCAGGAGTAGAAATTACGCTAAACTGAGCTATTTTAACCCAGAGATAGAAATTCATCAAACATTCCAAAATGAATTTTTAGCACATTTGAGACATTTTTATTTTTTGGCTAAAATAGCTCATTTTAGCCTAATTTTTTTACTCCTGAGGCTTCTTGTAAAAAAGTGCCAGAAAATTGATCTATTTTCCACCATCCAAATTGCCATTTTTCCTTGGATCAGAATTGTTTGTAGTGTGTAATGAATTCAAACTCTTGCAGTTCCAAGTTGAGGTCTTGAGTTTACTCCTGACCCTGAGTGAACTTTTGAACTAGCTGACAGGGCACACACCAATTAAACATGTTTCAACTACTTAAGAGAATGGTCTCACTTATATGGAAAAAAAATTCACTGGCCATTGTCCCACTGCCAAGTTATACAAATGTTACTCATGTAACTTGCCCAGTTATAACACAAAATCTATCCATGTTTGGTAAAAAAAGTAAATGTATACCCCTTTTTGAAAAAAACTAGCTAGGAATTCAACTTGCATCAAAGCAGACCCCTTTCTGAGCAAGATGCTGTAACTGAAGTATAGATATCTCCAACTAGCTGAAATATATCCACTAGGGGGTATCAAATAGAGGAAATCCACCATCAGAAACCAGTCACTTTTCCAAAAACTTTTTTTTGCATAAATGGGCCCCAAAAGGGGTTAAATGGATAACCAACATGTTTAAAGAGGGGTGGATTTTTTCAAACCAGTCAATTAAATAATGGTGGATTTGGTTATATTTGATACCCCCTATTTTGATGAGGTATGTGGCCACTGCTGCACAGACCAAACCTGATTTCACCATCACTCAAACTTTTTCCTTGATTCCATTATAAATTTGCTGTGAGTTGTGCAATGATAAAATTTCTAAGTCAATTGGTGATGATCTTAAAATGTGGAAAGAAAAATCATTCAACAGTTGATTTCAAGACTCATGTGTAAGAAAATAGAGAAGTTTCACAATTTGAGCAAATATTTCACAATTTGAGCAGAGATTTCACAATGTGAGCTTGTATTTGATATTGGGGGTTGGAAAAACGACTCCCTAAAATTTGCCGACGACTCCCATTTTGTTTGAGGGGTCGTCAGATGGGAGTTGTCTTTCCAATTCCTCCTGGGGGATTGGGAGTCGACCTCCCAAATGTTTTTTTGGGTGGGAGTCGGCACCCAAAACCCACCTTGGCAAGTGGGAGGTTTGGGAGTTGCCTCCCTCCCACGGTGGGGGATTCCCTCCGGTTATCAAGACTGTACAGTCTTGATCACCCCAGGGAATCCCTTCCGGTCGATGAGGTTGTTATAAGAAGGATTTCCTTCAGGTTGATGAGTTTGTTGTACCTCATCACTGGAAGGAAATCCCTTCTGGTTGGTGAGGTGTTATACCTCATCACCGGAAGGGTTACACCTCATCAATCGGAAGGAATGACTTCTGGTCAATGAGGTTGTTATACCTCATCAACTGGAAGGAATCCCTTCTGGCCGATGGGGTTTTTGTTTCTTGTTGAGCGGAAGGAAATACTTCCGGTCATGGGAGCGACTACCAAAACCCCCTCAAGCATGAGGGGTGGTTTGGGGAGCCAACTCCCAAAAAATTGAAAAAAATTATTAAAAAATTAAAATACAAATGGATGGCCGACTCGCAAAGTCAGCCATCCATTTGGAGGAACGACTCCCGTCCGACAACCCCTCGACCAAAATGGGAGTCGTCGGCAAAGTCTAGGGAGTCGTTTTTCCAACCCCTTCGATATTTGATCATGTGTTTCATTTATTCAATAGAGATAAGAGATGAATGAAAGGTATTGGAAAACAATCATTTGATAAGTCTAGGGAGTAAATGCCCATGAGTCCACCAACTGAGCAAAATTGAACAAAGAACCACAAGTTGAACCCCAGAGTCAAAGTTGGCTGATATCTGGTGGATGGTTCTCAGTGCGTGAAGTAAGCCCTGATGGGGTGCCTGGCGGTATTCCTGAATCTGTTTTCCAGAAAACTCATTGGGAGCCACATGTAGGCAAAAGGGAGTAGAGTTGATGTGCTAAAAAAGACAGTGTAACCTGCCATTAACCAAAATAGATCCCATGATAATATGAATGCTGTAAACAAATTGCTACATCCGCTTTTATTAATGATTCACATCATGAAATGTTGTTGTTTTTGCAAGTCTATTGTTTGTTTGAAAGTTGAATTGAATATCTTTTTATTACCACTTCTCTGAGATCACATGCAACAATCCATGTTCTTGCCCCCAGAGATTTGTCTTCACATAATTCCGATTTCCTATAAGCACCCACTTCTAAAATAATCACAATGTTCTGCTTCCATCCTTGTTTGTGAAAGGGTGGCCAAACAGGAGCAGAATGCTTGGCTATGTACCAATTTCATGCCACAGGCACTCAGTGAATTTGAGGCCTAGAATGGATTTTTAGTCGCTTTTCATGTCACATTATATAAGTAATCATTCCAAATGATTTTTGTGATATATTCAATTGCACTGCCGCTCAAACTTTTTGTCAAGTGAAAATAATTTTCGAGAAGCTCTCAATTCGGCAAAGTTCCCGACGTCCAAGCCCATTGAATCCGAGACGCATGGACAACAATGTTAGGAATGATTGGAGGTCTCTGAGACTTTTTTTGAGGATGAGGAAAGTAAAGGAGAAGAAAGTGAAAGAGCTGACCAGCCAAAATGACAAATCGGGTAGCCAATCCTATCAACATAATCAAATGTCAGAGTTCAATACCCAAACACCCTTCATAATAATCAGAGAAGTCAAGCAAAGACTCACCAATCATGAAATACAATCGGATCCAGGGATTCACATTAGCGGGGTTCACGATACAATTTTGTCAGGAAAAAAATTAAGCAACTCAGGATTTGGGAGCGCTTAAACCTGGGCTTGGTTTGTAATCAAAATTAAGCTTAATAATTAACAGATCCAGGAAAATTAAGGGTCCCACCCTATTAGCGGGTTCACGATAAGATTTTTTCAGGAATAAAATCAAGCGGTTAAAATGTTCAAATGAGCCTAAAGCCTACTGGGATTCATGCTGCCTCTCATAATCAACTCATCACTCGAACGATATGTGAGGGCTCAGTGAACGCCAACAAATCATCAGGGAGGTTTTTCTCATCATGGCGTACCATCACAACGAGGCGACTGAAGAAATTCTCGATGGTGTCATGAACCTTCCATCAATCCCCAAATTTGGTATGATCCTTTTTCCAAGCAACCCAAGCTTACAGTTTGTTTGGGAGATGTTTTTCAATGACAAGGCAGAATGTGCCGACATTCTGGAGGAATTGCTTTCACGTCGGTATTTGAGCTTGCGTACCGCACCAACAACTCATGATGATTACGACCTGGCCAAACTTTTCAACATGCGCAATGACGATTTCAAACAAGCCGTTCGAACCACCAAGGATGGGTTTCTTTGGCTTCTCAATCAAATCCGTACACATCCAATATTCTATAGTAACAGCGCCCGACCTCAACTCCCGATTCCCCATCAATTGGCTCTCACATTCGAGCGACTTGGGTCCAACGGTGTGGTAAGCCAATCCTGAATTTCAGAGCACAAAAAGACTACAAATCACACAGGAATCACAGACTCAAGACCCCTCAGGAATTCCCCAGGCCCTCAAACAAATCCAACACACCAGTCATCCACACAATTGCCCCCCTCATGGATAATAACATCTTCCACACCTCTGAAACTCCTCAAATGAAACCCATGGCCAAATTCTTAGTTCAATCTTGATAAGAATTAGCTCACACACCAACTACACACTAGTACCCCTTCCCAATATAACCTCAAACCCCTCTAAAAAATATTCCTTATCTCTTATCTCCTTCCTTCTTATGCCAAGAATTCCCACACAACAGCCATGTTTCATACTAGCCCTCTTTTGGCCCTTTCTTCCCATTGCCTGTTCAATCCTTATCTGGGTGAAATAATTTCCCCCACCTCTTCCCCTTGATAAGATTATCCAATCCTCTCTCTGTTTCAGAATGAATTTATTACCTTATCTTAGCTTGTCCCTCTCTTTGGATTCAGTCTAGTCTTAGCTTATCTTAGTGCCACACTAAATTAGGCCACATTGTTTATAGTTACAATTTACTTCCTTGTTCATTCTTTGTTCCATTTTGTTCCATCCATCTTCCAACCACAAATTGGCCACTCCCCAGAATCTTGTATATAAGGAGCTTTGTTTTTCCTCTTCATTTGTTCCTCATCAGAGCCTGCCCCAGCAATTCAGATAACTGATCACCCATTATTAGCCAGGTATTTGCCCATCAACATTTGGGATACCTTGATTTGTGACAAGTTTATTTAGACTAGTAACCATAAGAAATATTAGACATACCATCCTCAAGAAATCTCCACAGCCACACCTTTTTCCTTAAGAGTCCATACTCTTATATTTTCTTGTTATCAGAGAGGCAGCCCAATAAAGCACTCATCCCTCTCAAGCTCTATTCCTCCCAAGAGTAGTTCCACAACGGTAATGGTGCCTCGGTCGGACGTTTCTCACGTAATCTCAGTGTTGGGCGGGGAACAGTAATCAAAGTCAGCCGGCGGGTTATTCAAGCGATCAATGAAGTTTCGACCAACTTCATTGTCTGGCCAAATAAGGATCGACGGGCTGAGATATTGGAGGTGATGAAAGAGGAAGGATTTGAGGGATGTGTTGGTTTTGTGGACGGCACGACAATCCCTTTACACCAGCGCCCTGGTCTTGATGGCAAGGTATATTGGGATCATAAAAAGCAGTATTCAATAAACTGCCAGGTAATATGTGATTGTGATAGATTCATCACTTCCTTCATGACAGGGTGGCCAGGAACATGTGGCGACAGCTTGGTTTTCAAGAACATGAAGGTTCATTTGGAACTGAATCGGTTTTTTGATTCTGGTATGTATGCATGCCCAATCTTGAGTTGGTTACAAATATTGTTGGCTGATTGATTTGCTTCTCTTCTTTCAGGTCAATATCTTATTGCAGATTCAGCTTACGGATTATCAATGACAACTATCCCAGCATACAAATCACCCCTCTCAAAGATAACTAGAAATACCAAATTCAACTACTGCTTAGCTAAATCACGGGTACGTAACGAGCATACAATCGGAATTCTCAAGGGCCGCTGGGCATCACTCCAACAGCTTTGCTTATCTTTGTATACACCCCAACACATGCTTGAGATCATCCGCTGGATAAACTGTTGTGTGGCTCTACACAACATGCTGGCTCACCTCGGCGACTCTTGGGATGACCTTGCAGTCTCAAATGATAATGATGGCCCAGTAGGACCTCAAGTAAATGATGAGGATGATGACACTGGCCACTGCGAAGAGATTCAAAATAAGTGCTTGATTTTTAATCACCTCAACGGTACATTACCTATCCCTTCAAACTGAAAGTTTTATTTGATATTTGAGTAAACATCATCATTGTTGAGCTAGTTATTGTGACTGATCTCAATGTGTACATAAGACAAAACTATCAATGTAGAAATTAAAACTAGTGGTTTGTATTCTTACACGGTGAATAATGCTGAATTGAGCTTGATACATAGAAGGGTTGATTGAGATAGACTTGTATTGAATTGATTGAGGCATGTAGAAATAAAAGCGTTATAAAAAATAAAATACATTTAATTAGATGAAAAACAAACCAAAGATCAGAAGATACATCTCATGAGGATCTCAATCTCTGCCGCACTTTTCCCCTCACCCATCCATTTTTCAGCTGCTTTTAGTTTAGCTTTTTCTCGGTCTGCTACCGTAGTTTGTTCGTCTTGATGCTTTTTTTTCCCACTGGAACTTCTGTTTCTCAATCTCCATATGTTTATCGAGGTAAGCAAACTTCTTATCAGACGAAGATCCAAAGGCAGCCGCAACAGTCGATTTTCCCTTTTGGTTGTTTGTTTCCCTCCTTGGGGCGGGGATTGATCGATCGGCCACGTGGTGCAGCTGAACCAGATGGTTGGTCATCATCAGATTCATCGTCTTCGTCCCTTGCAATGCTTGCTTGAAGGTCGCCAAGCATAGATGCCATAGTACGGCGGGGTCGAGAGGAGCCAAGTCAAGAATTTGGGGCCGCAGGACTCTTGTCTGAACTCGGAGCTGGGTTAATTTGGGTGTCCGGATTTAAAGTTGGGCAATCGGCCAGCGGCAAACCAGACAATGAAGCAAGAGTCGGACTAGGTTGTTGGCTAGCTTGAGGAGAGGTCTGATTATCTTGATTACCGATCGCCTCCCGGCCGGAAAAGACTGTCCCGGGTGATTGCTGTTCTACGTTTGAATGGTCCAGCACCTCCTGTGTTGCGTCCCAGCCAGCGTAAAACATTTCAAGGTCTCCATTATCGCCTGGTTGATTGTAAAGTGGCATCCCCTCTTGGGACTTGTACTGGGCCGCAGGGGTGACATTAGGCTTCTCGCCAAAAAGGGCCGACATTCGTTTGTAGCAGGGGCATTTTGTTTCCAAGAGGTCATCGATTGAAACGTTATTATCCCCCTCCTCAATCCCCGCACCGGTGTTGTCGGCCCACTTCTTGGCAGCAACAAACTTCTTCTTGTACGCTTCCATACGCTGTCGAAGAAGCTTCCCATCCAAATGGAGTCGCTTGTGGGTCTGATCGTTCATGTAGATTGCAAATCGTTCGTAAGCTGCCCCTTTTGTCATCACTTGCTGTCCCACCGTGGTTTGAGGCCCATTTCCATAGATCTCAGTGTAGTGACTTGGATCTTCAAGATAAGAACAGATAACACATCAACTCTGACATGATTTCCCATCTGGGAAATCTTGTAAATTTTAGGGAAATCCTGTAAAAAAATCAAAGATTTTTCCAGATTTTTTAGATTTTTCCAGATTTTCTTAGATTTTTCAGACTTTTTAGATTTTTCTACATTTTTCCAGATTTTCTTATTAAGAGACATCTATAAAGTTGAAAAATCTGAAAAAATCTTAGAAAAAACTGGAAAAATTAGAAAAATCTTAAAAAACTGGAAAAATCTAAAAAATCCGAAAAAATCCCAAAAATCTAAAAAAATCAGAAAAATCTAAAATATCTAGAAAATCTAAAATAGGGTGTATCAAATATAGTAAATCCACCATTAGAAACCAGTCACTTTTCCCAAAACTTTTCTTTGCATCAATGTGCCCCAAAAGGGGTTAAATGGATAAGCAACATGTTTCTAAAAGGGTGGTTTTTTTCAAACCAGTCAATTAAACAAGGGCATTAATAAAAAAAACACGGTTTTTCCGCATTTACACACGGTTTTTCTGCGGCGCAGCACACACGTTTTTAGTGATTATGCATATTTTATGCATAATTTTGCCTCCAGGGGGTGCACGCGCGTACCACAAGTGCCTGTATGAAGTTTGAAAATTTTCCTGCAGGCACCAAACAAGAAAACCACTCACCACAATCAAAAATAGACTTCACCCCCCCTCTAAACCTTCAACACACCACAACTCAGTCAAAAATCAACCAAAATCAACAAAAAAAAACCAGAATTGTTCTTTTTTTCTCCTCTTCAACCCCACGGACTCGGAATTTTTTGATTCACCTCCGGTTCATTTCAAACTTGCACTGTGCAGGTACACTCTAAACTTCAAAAAATCACAACTTGGCCATTTCTCAACCAAAATTCACAAAAAAATACCAAAAGTATCCTTTTATCATCCTTTTCAGCGCCATGGGCTTTAATTTTGCTGATCCATCTCTTGTTTTTTTCAAATTCATTGTTAGGCCTCAAAATTGAGCTCTGAATAACTCAGGCGTTTCTCAACCAAACTCTTTGAGCCAGCCATCAATCATCTTGTTTCTTGCTTCTCTTTACCGCCACTATCTCCGTTTTTGCGGCTGGACCTCTTGTTTTTTTAATCATCGCTGGAACTCAAAATTGACTCAAACTTCAACCCTGAATAACTCTTTCAATTCTCAACCAATTTCTTCAAGAAAACCATCAATCATCTTCTTTCTTGATCCTCTTTGCTTCCAATGTCTCCGTTTTTCTTGCTGGACCTCTTGTTTTTTTTAAATCACCGCTGGAACTCTAGTAGGTCTTAAACTTCAACTCTGAATAACTCAGCTTTTTCTCAACCATTCTCTTCAATCAAGACACTGATAATCTTCTTTCTTGAATCTCTTCACCCCCACTGTCTTATTTTTTGCTGAAAGACCTCTTGTTTTTTTTAATTCATTGATCAATCACTAGTAGGAGTCAAACCCCATCTCTGAATTACTCATCCGTTTCTTGACCAATTTCTTCAAGAAAACCTTCAAAAATATTCTTTCTTTACCTTCTCAACAGCCACCATCTCTTTTGTTTCCGAAACACCTCTTGTTGTTGGTTATTCATTGCTTGATCGCTAGTAGGACTCAAACTACCTCTCCAATTAACTCAGCTGGTTCTCAACCAATTTCATCTTGAAAACCATCAAAAAAAAACTTTCTTGATTATGTTTATGGATACCGTCTCCGTTTTTCATTTTCAACCCTTTGTCTTTTTTAATTCATCATTCAACTTCAACAAACACCTCAATAACATGTCTGCAAGTCAAAGCCACATCAACCCCCTCCTTCTTTCTGCTGCGACATCTGAGGAGATATCTAAAGCTCACATGAACACCCCCCTCAGTACATCTCAAGCCAACGTCACCTCGCCCCTTGAAACCGCGTCTACAGCTGCTCTGTCAACTGCTCCGTCTGCCGCTCTTCATTTCCTTGCACCCCCTCCCGAGTTATCTTATGCAACAAGGACGCAACAGTGGGCCTTGGAGCATGGGTATGTGATTTTCAAGAGAAACACTACACAGTCCAATGGGGAGGACTGAGTTACTTATAGATGCAACCTATCTGGCCAACCAGGGGCACCAAACCCTGACAAGTTGGGCAAATTGAAGAGGATCAGATTTCCCTTTGAAATGTTGGGCAACTTCTACAAGAGGGAGGGACACTACAGAATCAAGATAAAGAATGCGAATCACAACCACCCAGCTTTGGAGGATCCATACGTTCATCCAATCCATCGATGTTTGACCAAATCACAAAAAGAATGTAAACCCCTCCTCTGGTTGGGTTCACAAACCTTTCATTCACATGTCACACCCTCTCCTTAGTCTTCATTTTCCTTTTCACATTCCTGGCTCTGCAGAGATCTGCCCTTCCATCTCTCTGAGCCAGGTAAGCTCTATTTCCTTTTCTTCTTGTCTTTCTCTCTTTCTAGATCGTACTGAGAGATCTGCCCTTCCATCTCTCTGAGCCAGGTAATAAAAAGCTCCCCCACGTTTGGTCTTAGAAAAATTCTAGGCTCCTTGCCTGTCCCTTGTGCCTTTCCTCGACTCATCCAGTGAAGGACATTTGCAGTCCTTACACTTTTTTTTTCTCACACCAAACCACCAACAAACTATCTACCTCGACTGGACTTACTCGACTGTGACTGGACTGCTTCACCCTCCTCGACTGATATTACTAGAACCGACGACTGATTTTCTACCACGATACACTCTGAACTGCCCTGACTGAATTGCCTACGACTGCCCGATTGTACTGCTTTGACTGTCCCGACTGAACTTATTTAGACTGCTCGACTGAACTTCTCACTACGACTGTAGTGACTCGATTTCTTCAACTGAAATTATCGTGACCGACTGACTGAAATTTTGCTTCCTTACTGTCTTGACTACCCCGAATTTATGCCCACGAGGAGCAACACCGGCCCCGACAAACTCCTCCCACTAACCGACCCAGAAACCATACTTCGAGCGGGGAACACCGAACGACGACGCATCGCCCACCTCCAGCCCCCCAACTCGACTGCCCCGCCACTCCCATCTCTTACAACTGCCCCGCCGCTCCCATCTCCTTCGACTGCCCCGCTACACCCATCTCTCCCTACCAAGATGCCCGACAAGACCACTCAAGGTGAAGAGCAAACCACCGAGTCAACACGCACGGCGGACGCATCAGATATGCAAACCGCCAAGGACTGGTTCAAGGCGGTTTTCAAGATTCAGCATGCATTGATTACACAAGCGCAAGAGGACCACCAACAAGCTATAGCCGACCGTCGCGCAGATCAGCAAATCTTTCTAGCGGCTCACCAAGCCAACGCCGCCCGCATCGGCCGTTTGGAGGACCTCCTTCTAGCGATGAACGTCAAAAATGAGGTTGATGCTCGCCCTGTACAAGCTGCTCCAGGCCGGGTTGATCTACAAAAGTTCCGCACGTCGGACGGCCCAATCTACCGCGGACCGTTCCAAGAAACCGAGCCCTTTTTACGCTGGATCCACGGCGTACAGATTTTTTTCGACACTAAGGATGTCAGCAACTCGGCGGATAGAATCAAGATTCTCGGGAATCTCATCGCGGAGACTAACCTTCAATTGTTTTATGCCAACAAAGCATCTGGCTTCCTAACCAAGTCCTGGAACGAATTCAAAGTACGGATGTTTGATTTTGCTCTCCCCACAAACTGGCGATCGGGATTGCAACGACAGGTCCGCAAGCTCGAGATGTCTCCGACCGAGTCTTTTCTAGAGTACAGCACGAGGGCCCATACACTACAGAGCCTATTCAATTTCGACGCCAGCGCAACCTCCAAGCTCGGCGACCTTCAATTGGACCAGTTCTTAGTTTACGGATTGACGGATGCCCTACAGGATCGAATCAATGAACGCTAGCTTCTCAAGACGAACCCCTTTGTCTACGGTCCATTTGAGAAGCAGCCCAATGCGTCCTTCCTCGCCTTGCTCCGCCCAACGTCAAGTACGTCACCGAATCTATCCCGCGACAAATTCATTTGGCGAGTACATTCCTTCCTCGACTCACGGGGCCTTTGTCACTTCTGCAAGAAACACTGCGGCAGTGTGAACGGTGTTTGCCCGGGACCGCTAAATAGGGCCCATGTCGACATTCCAGCTAACTATCAAGCCCCCGCGAAACCGGTCGACTATTCAGCCCCGCGCGCTTGGAGTAGCCCATCTGGCCCATCGTCCACCCCAGGAAAACCCACTCAACCTCCCGCGGGTCGACCTTCAGCCCGTGCCGCAAGCGTTGCAGGCGTTACAGACATCACACCCCTTGAAGCCCAAGTCTCTGTGCTACAACTAGACGCAGCAATACGAGAGGACGGCCGTTGGGATACATACTTTGACGACGAAGGTTACTACCCTAGTATGGAACCGGCCGCTGTGGCGGCACTCAAGGACCTTGACAGACAACTTCTCCCAAACAAGATTGAGAAGGCCAAACAGGCCGACCTAGCGGATGCTATTGCCGGTCATCCGGGGCGTGCCTAACTCAAGTCTCTAGATTCTATCTCTCCTTTTTTCTCCATTGCTACTTCCTTTTTTTTCTTTTTTCTTTTTCTTCTTCCTTTTTATGAATTTTGTTTTGTCTTATTCATTTCATCCTTCTTCAATTTTTTTATAGGAGGGGAGACTGTAAACCCCTCCTCTGGTTGGGTTCACAAACCTTTCATTCACATGTCACACCCTCTCCTTAGTCTTCATTTTCCTTTTCACATTCCTGGCTCTGCAGAGATCTGCCCTTCCATCTCTCTGAGCCAGGTAAGCTCTATTTCCTTTTCTTCTTGTCTTTCTCTCTTTCTAGATCGTACTGAGAGATCTGCCCTTCCATCTCTCTGAGCCAGGTAATAAAAAGCTCCCCCACGTTTGGTCTTAGAAAAATTCTAGGCTCCTTGCCTGTCCCTTGTGCCTTTCCTCGACTCATCCAGTGAAGGAAATTTGCAGTCCTTACAAAGAAAGGGTCACCAAACTAACCAACGCTGGTGTTGCACGCTTGAAGATCAAGTCAGCTTTAGTTCAAGACGCACAGACCCCCTCACACGCCACACTTAACACCATTTACAATCACCAAGGCAAGATGCGCATGGAACAGCTCAATGGATGAACACCATTTGAGGCCCTTGTGCATCAAATCCGTCAACACCAATTCTACTTCATGATGGACAGTGTTGAAGGTCCCATGAACTTGTTCTTTTTTGCTCACCACCGCTCACTTGAATTGGCCAAACGCTTCCCGACAACAATCCTCCTTGATTGTACTTACAAAACAAACAAGTACCGCATGCCCCTTCTGCACGTCATTGGAATGAATTCCTGAAATAGGTTGTTCACTGTTGCTATGTGTTTTCTCTCGGCCAAAAAAGAACCAAACTACACTTGGGCCCTGGAGAATCTTCATCTGGCGATGGATAAAGAATTTCCCTCAGTCATTTTCACCAACCATGAACAAGCGGTCATAAATGCAATTAAGAAAGTCTACCCAAACGCCGACCGTATCCTGTGCTCTTGGCACATTTGGAAGAACATCGAGAAGAATTGCCGGAAGCATTTCAACAGCGAGGATAAATGGTCAACATTTGATTTGGCATGGAAGAAATTGAGACTGTCGCCAAAATTGAAGGAGTACAAGGAGAATTACGCCAAGCTCTCCAAAACGTGGAATCCAGATACGGCCTCGTACTTGATATTGGTCGTCCTTCCTCTGAAGGAGCACTTTGTCACATACTTGATCAATCGGCACCCGCACTTTGGTAACCACATCACATCTAGAGTTGAAAGTCTCCATGCATACCTGAAACAATTCATCAACTCCTCAACAGGCTCCTTTGCAGCAGTAGTCAAGCAAATTCACCAGGCCATTGACAGCCAGCTCCACAAAAGATACATTGAGTCTGCGCAGCATCAATACAAAAGACTTACCGGCCTGTCTCCATTGATTGCCAATATTAACGGAATCATCTCCCACTTTGCCTTGAAGATTGTTTACTCATTTCACTTGGCCAAGGCTCCGACAACCACATGTACAGGTAACTACTCATCTTACATGGGGATTCCTTGCATCCACCAAGTCCACAACGCCGAACGTGAGGGAGAAAAGTTCACCGCAGATGATTTCCATGCTCAGTGGCATGTCAAGAGTGATCTAGCTGTAAGTTCCTTATTTGTTTATCATCAAGAGGATCCAAACAAAATTTGCACAAGGTATCTGATTTATTTTGTTCATTCATCTGATCAATTGACCGGTGCAACTTAGACCATCTCCACCGCAAGTTGCTATCCGAGCTGCCAAATCTCGAAGTTCGGCAACTGCGACGCGTTTTTAGCAGCTCGCGTCCAGTTGGTATTACACCGCAAGTTGCTATAATAGCAACTGGGGAATGTGAAAGGCCCCCCCCGGGGCAGCAAAGCCTGCACTCAATGTTGGCCGGTATCGGTCCTCTTTCTCTAGTGACTGGTACCGACCATGGAGAGTATTACTATTGACCGGTACCATCCCAGGAGATGTACACTCTCCTTCGACTGGTGCACCTGGTACCAGTCACTTCTCTAGTGACCGGTAACCGGTGTCGGTCTTCAAGAGTATAGACTCTCATGTGACCGATACCGGTACTTAAGGGGACACCGTTGCTTTTGACCGGTATCAGTCTTTGAGAGTGTACACTCTATAGAGACCAATATCGGTCTTTGAGAGTGTACATTCTCTTGTGACCAATACAGGTCTCTGAGAGTGTACATTTTCTAGTGACCAGTACCGGTTGCTCTTGAGTCTGGGGATTGGGTGTTGTGCTGTGTCGGGGGATATGGGGGAGGGGGTGGATGGGAGAATCACAAGGATTCTTTGTGATACTCGCGAGGTTGAGCTGCTATCCTGATGCTATATTTGGTATCGGGATAGCAGCCGAGAGTCGGGTTGCTAAAAATTTCGTGTGTTTAGCAGCCCCAGTGGAGCTGCTATAATTGGTTTAGCAGCGCGGTTTAGCAGCCGCGGTGGAGATGGTCTTAGTGAAAACCCAGATGCCATGGAGGCCCCACAGAAGAACCATGAAGATGCTTTCCTCAGCAAAGTCTTTCAAAAGTTCCAATCCCTTCAACCTGGCGAACAACACTTCATGCTTGGCAAAATTCACAAACTGCTCGACGGAACACATGCAACCATTCCACTTGAGGAACCCAAGTTTGATAAGAACCATTGATTCAAGGGCCAACCCAAAGGCTCCAAACGTAAACACAAATCAATGTTTTCAACCAAGAGGGACCCATCTGGAGTTGTGCACGTCAAGGGGCAGAATAAGAAACAAGGCAGGCCAAAGAAGGTGGCCAAATTGGATGAGGGGCCCAAGCGCAAACCTGGGCGACCAAGGAAGAAACCGGCCAAAAAGGATGAAATGGATGAGTCAGAGGTGTGCATTGCTTATATCCATCTGAAGATTTTTCTGCTTCTGATTCATTTTTGAGTAGGCCATGGAAACAGACAAAGAGAGTGAGGATGAGGCTTCAGATGGAATTGGAGCCCTTTGTGAAAACATATTCACCGACGAGGAGCATTTGGAAGAAGAACCCAAGCTACCAACTGTAACAAAACCCTTGCAAATTAGTCCAATCAAATTATTCAAGCAAAAACCAGAACCCATCACCAAAGCGGACAAACTTGACAAAACTCCTTTGAGTGAGGCACTTACTTGGAGTACACACGAGAATGTGGATATTGATCTTGTGAGTCAATCATTTTCCCATGTACTTACTCCTTTTCCTCATTGTTCATCCCCTCTGTTTCCCTCTTGAACTTTTGTTAGTATGAGTAGAAAGACAGCATCAAGCCAGCAGGAGTAATCCCACACATCTTACACGTTAACAACGTCAAAGGCAATGGGAACTGTGGCTTTTGAGCGGTTGCGGTCAGCTTGGGACGCAAGTCTGATGAATGGGACTCAATCCGCAAGGAAATGCAGAAGGAATTTGAGTTGAACAAGGCCTATTTGGATGAAAGGTTCTTGGATAACGTATGGGGAGCAGGGGAGGACCAAAAAGACGTCATTAATTTGCTCGCATGGAGAGACAAGGAACAGAAAGCCCCCCTCAAGTACTGGATGATGTTCCCTGTGCATGGATATTTAATAGCTGATATGTACCAAAGACCAGTTATTTTATTATCGGAAAAGATGCCTGCGACTTATCTTCCTCTTTCTCATACTCCAAGAAACAACCCTCCCATCTGTCTGATCCTTTTACCTGACTATTCTCATTTCATCTTGTTCACTTTCAAGGCTGAAATATGGCCATGCCCCAGGATTGATACATTTTGGGGACACTATGTCATGAGGGATGAAGCGCTGGGTTGGGAGGATTACATTCAAACCCATGTTGAACTGGGTCAAGAAGCCTTTTACACACCTGTCAGAAGATCTTTGCGCTTCAAAAAGGCTCCTGTTGAGGTTGATTAACTTTTGTCATTACTGTTCTCTGTACCTTCCTCTGATTTCCTGCTTGTGTCCCTCTTCTCATTTTAAAATCCAAACTACGCTCGTTTATGCCCAAACTCTTTTGTAAATCCAAATTTGGCCTTGCTAGAATATTATAGCATTTTTTACCTTTTTCCATTGATAAATTCAAGGTCGGAAGGTTGAATAACCACTGGGAACTTTCCACTGTGCTTGCATCAATAAAATGAGTGGGAGCAAAGATTAAAACGCAAAGGAATCATTTTTATGAAAAATAAATTTTACCATTAAATTCTAAACCTTTCAAAGTGTAGGAAACAAATTTACGATGTCAAACAATAATGAAAAACAAGCCGCTAACAATTAATTGAAAAAATGAGTGGGAACAAAAATTACAATGCATAAAAATCATTTTTATGCAAAATAAATATTGCCATTGAATTCTACACTTGTCAAAGTGTAGGAAACAATTTTACAATTTCAAAAAATAGTGAACAACAAGCCAGTGACATTTAATTGTAAAAATGAGTGAGCAGAAAAAGAAATCAAAGCCATTTTTATGGAAAATAGACTTTACCATTATATTCTACACCTTTCATAGTGTAGGAATAAATTTTAAAATTTTGAAGAAACTCAAAAATAAGCGGTAAAAAATTAATTACAAAACCGTGTTTAAACGGTGAAACCGTGTGTGCTGTGCCGCAGCAAAACCGCAGGTAAACGCGGAAAACCCATGTTTTTTTTATTAATGCCCTCAAACAATGGTGGATTTGGTTATATTTGATACCCCCTAATTCTAGAAAAATCCAAAAAATCTGAAAAAATCTAAAGAATCTGGAAAAATCTGAAAAATTTAGAAAAATCTAAAAAATGTGGAAAAATCTAAAAAATCTGAAAAAATCTAAAAAATCTGGAAAAATCTTTAATTTTTTTACAGGATTTCCCTAAAATTTACAAGATTTCCCATCTGGGAAATCATGTCAGGGATGATGTGTAAGTTCGAAGTTGGAGGTGATGAATTGAGGATTGTATCGGAAGCTGAAGTTGGCTTAG